GACATATGACACATCTGAGCTAAATTATGTTTTTGACATATTATGTGAATGGCACAAAAAAACATATTTTGTAAATTATATATATTTAGATATTTTTTTAGATTTATCAGCAAATAACTCGGCACTACTTTGGAGTTGATCAAAGACTTCAAAGACTCTAAGCTTTCAAATTATATCCATTTTTTGTTGATCAAGGCAGTGGTTTGAAAAATATGATTAGTAATATTTTCGCGGGGGGGGTGTCCCGCCCGTGGTACACTCCGGTTTAGAGGGACTGCTCAGCGCTCGTTAAGAGTTGATCAAAATAATTACATTCATTAAAAAGCTTATAAGCTTTAAAATTATACCTATTTTGTGTTATTCCATTCAGGGGTTGCGTAGTAATTTGATTATGATTTTTTTCGTGCGGTGGGACACCTCAAGCTTAAAGGGTTAAGAAATATTACATGTATATTCATATTTATACATGATTTATAATATATATATATATATATATATATGTGTATATATTAGGGATGTAATGATTAACCGCGAGCCAGTTGAAAATCGATTTAAATATGTAAAGATTCAAATCGGTTGAGATGCTAAACAAATCGCAATTCAGTTATGGGTAGGAGTTTATATGATTGTATGTCTGAGGGGAACTTACTGTCTTTCGATGGTATTTTTTCTTTTCCTCTTGCCTCTGTATAATGCATATTAAAGTTCATAAGTGCAGCGCTGCTTTGTTTACAAACCAAAGAAACGCTGTAAGCGCCACCTGCTGGCAGAGAGCGAATCTGCGTCTCATTCAACTCATCTGCTGTTTCTGTTTCATGCAGATATTTTAATGTGTAATTTCACAAAACTGAAGTCAAACCATTCTGTCAAACCATTTGCTTCACATTTCGAAGTTATACAATGTAATTTAGATTAAAAACTGCTCATGTTGCATGTATGCAGCATCTTTGTTTGGATCATGATTAAAATGCAGTAGTTGCCTCTAATTTTAAATGGAAAGAGCACAGACAAAGCCTTAAGTAGGGCTGTGCAATTAATCGCATGCGCATCTCGCATCTCGCATCTCGTCAGTAAAGCCGGTGATGGAGATTTACTACCAATCACAGAACCGGCTTTACTGGCGAGATGCGCATGACAATCGCATTTGATTAATCGTGCAGCCCTAGCCTTAAGCCTTACTTAGTTTATTTATATGAAGAGATTTCTTTTATTTGTGTTACTTATTTATTTGATTTGGGGCTTGTTTTAAAATAAAAATAAAATGTACTTTTGTTATTTACATTTACATCATATTTAAATTTTGTATATATTGTATGTATGGGTGTAGTTCACCCAAATATTCTGTCATCTTTTACTCGATGCAGAAATGTCTCAGTTTTTTTATTTTTTTTTTAAATCTTGGCTTTTGTCTATTGACAAAATAAAATTAGCAAAATGAAAAAAAATATTATATGGCTGATTTTTTTAAAGGAGGGACCCAGATGGCACCTAATAGCAAAACCTGACATTGTGACAAAGTTGTGCATGTGTTTCTTCATAAATTGTAAAAGTCTTGTTTTATTGTCTGAAAACTTCCTGAACATGCAACGCAGGTTGTGCTGGTTCTGACGTCCATTATTACGCTAAAGCATCAGAACATACACTAAAAAAATTTGGCGTTGGATTTACCTCAGAACTATTTCCACTCAGAAATTCCTAGTAAGTTTCACAAATAACTACAAAGAAACAGCAAGCAACACATTGAATTAAACGTGAAATTTTGAAGTAGAAAGACTGATATTGTATTTTCTTTTAACACGTACTCCAGTAATCATTTACAACTTCGAAAAATCATTTTTACAGTGTAGCAGGACTTTATTTTTCAACTAAGGACCCAAAGTAGTGAATTAGATCTGGCCGTTTGAATGAATCTGAAATGAACTATAGATATAAGGTGTTGGTGTTCAGATGTTGTATGTTGTAAGATTACGCTCAGGCAGAGGCATCCGGCTTTGAGCTGCAGCAGGATTTATAGGAGGTTTTCAGACGAGTAATAGTAGTACTGGGCTCTCTCTGTGCAGTCTGTGGTTTTGGCTTTGGCTTGGATAATGGCTCCCAGTGTCTGGAGAGATTAAAGGCCAGTGCTGCATTGTTCACATGCCTCCAGATTAGTTTCCAAGGAAACGGATTGCAGTTGCCATGTGAACACAAGGCCCGGAATTAGGATTGCATTATTTATTTATTTGTTTTACAGCTCACATTCGTCATCCCTGCTGTTTTTGCTTGTTTTTCATCTTTAAACTGTTGTTTGGTGTGTGCTTGTTTTTAAACCCACCTTAGTTTAGTCCGTACTCAAGTTTATAGCTTTCAGAGCCGACGTGGCTGAAATCGAGATTGGATTCAGGGGGGCATCTGTCGAGAGGGACGGGTAAAGTAGTTCACTTTAGAGGGCTCATGCTTCCAGGCCCTGTCTTGCTTCCAAGGAGAACAAATTAAGGGTGAAGGGTTTTACGGCAATAATCTGAGCTAGCTTTAATTGGTTGACAAAGGCTTATCGTAATTAGCTACTTTCACATGTGTGTGACGGATTTTGGTGTATTAGCACAGGGAAGGGTATTACTATCACTTTCCAAAGCTTCTTATAGGTTTTTCCATCCTTCAATACATTTTGTACAGCCGAACATATTTTAAAAAGTTAATGGGGAGCTTGAAGCCTTCTTACTCTTTAGTATATAATTAACAAAACATATTGGTTTGTTTTTGCACGTAATTATTATGAGTCCATTAATTATGATTAGTTGTTAATGTATTCCCATCATGTCTGTGGTTCCTGCAGACCGTAATCGCAGGGTAGACGGCATATCAGTGTTTCCTACAAAATTCGAATAGCTATTTGCTATGGATCCACCGAAATGAAAATTCTGGGCCAAAACCAAAAATTCTGGATGCACTTGGCCGAAAACTAGGGCTGCCCACGAATAAAGATGTTTTAGTCGACTAGCTGTCATTCATTTTTAGCAATTAGTTGACAAATTGCATGTTTATATTAATAAACCATATATAATTCATAATAATAGGCCTCTGGCCTATCAGCGCTCAAGATAAATCTTGCAACAGCACACCGGCAGAAGTGATGATTATGAATGCGTCGGGGAGAAAAACAGCAAGAAGACTGCCTTAACAGTATGATAATTCATTGATAAACTAATGTTATCTGTATTTTCGGCTGCAGCGATGAAGTCGACGGCACTGACTCGTCATCTCCACGGACTGCAGACGTGCATGTTTCATACGGATTACATAATCTGAAAATATTTGTTTTCCATTTGAATTGGTTCATTTAAAAGTAGACATCTTACTTTCTATAGATATATTTTTCATGTCTGTGAGGCAAGCACAGAGTTTCGGTTAATTTTGTTTTGACCTGCTCAAGTTCACAGAGGCCTAGATGGCAGAAAGCACACCCTGTTTGCTTTCATTATTTTACAAAAGCACAACGTTTTGTTGTTATTGTGAGTGCACACAAATAAAAGTAAACCTTTTAATCTTGCAACAGCACACCGGCAGAAGTGATGATTATGAATGCGTCGGGGAGAAAAACAGCAAGAAGACTGCCTTAACAGTATGATAATTCATTGATAAACTAATGTTATCTGTATTTTCGGCTGCAGCGATGAAGTCGACGGCACTGACTCGTCATCTCCACGGACTGCAGACGTGCATGTTTCATACGGATTACATAATCTGAAAATATTTGTTTTCCATTTGAATTGGTTCATTTAAAAGTAGACATCTTACTTTCTATAGATATATTTTTCATGTCTGTGAGGCAAGCACAGAGTTTCGGTTAATTTTGTTTTGACCTGCTCAAGTTCACAGAGGCCTAGATGGCAGAAAGCACACCCTGTTTGCTTTCATTATTTTACAAAAGCACAACGTTTTGTTGTTATTGTGAGTGCACACAAATAAAAGTAAACCTTTTACAAATTTGAGAGATGTAGCTATTACTCTATGAGCAAAAATGACAGAGTATTTAAAGTTAAATGCAAATGATCACACCAGTGCCCCTAAGTTATCTGTCATGCATTGAGCGCGCTACTATTCAGCTTCCACATTCCGCACAAACACTTGAATAGCATACATTTTTCTAGGTTAACGTTAGAGAGAGCGGCCATGTAATGTTCATAATCATATATAACAATAATATATAAACAACATGCATACAAACAAACCATATTGCTAATGTACAATAAAAAAGTGTAGCCTACATTTTTAAGCTTTCGTTAAAGAAGTAATAATAATTATATATATATATAAATCTATAATTTCATAAAATAATTTCATTAAAAAAAATTTTTTTTAGCTTGCTTTCCCAAGTTTATTATTATTATATAATTTTTCTGAGAAAGAATGTTTGGATGGCACACTAAAGGATAATATATTAATTACCAGCCTATAAAGCCTACATGTTGTCAGTAGTAAGCAACTGCACGTTTCATGAGACCTCGAGTACACAAATCATCAATTCATTTCGAAGACCGACATCATTGAAAGTAGTGATAACATGCGGTTCAGTAAGACAGATGCTGATTAAGTAACTTCTCTTATTTAGTGAGTTCATGAAAATAACTTAAGTCAGATGAGTCATTTGTTCATGAATTGGATTACACAGAATACTGGTTGTTTCTCTGTCTATCCTGTGTGGTCAACTCAATAGCAAGAGATGCTTTTCACTGTACTTCTGTCCCTTATAAAATTTTTTATTCGTGTCAAATTGAATATGGTGTCTGCTGTAAGGTCCTTTAACAATCTGATAACAAACTTTGCTGACACTTTATTTTTGTGTACTTGTTACGTTACATGTACTTACTATAGTAATAACATGATTACAAACAACCGTAATAAGTACATGTTGTTAATTAATATTAACTTAAAACTAAAAACACATAACAATTATATGAGTAATTAATTTTATATTTAGTGTAGCGTTATAGACCTGCATTGGATTTCAGTGTGCTTTATTCTGTGTCTCTTCCTGCAGAAGAATGGCACAGATACGGAAGCTTGGCTGTGATGGGATGAGGACCAACTCTCGGCCAGAGCTCAAAGTTCCCCAAGTGTCAGCCAGACAAGAAATCCTCACCAGCCTAGTGTCTGCCCTGGACTCTGTGGTAAGACAGTAACCCGTACTGAGTTTAAAGATACTTACGGTGTGTGTTTAATGCAGAATTTTGGTGGTGGATGACTTGATGTGAATTGTGTTTGCAGTGCTCTGCCATGTCTAAACTCAATGCTGAGGTGGCCTGTGTCACTGTGCATGAAGACAGCGTGATCGCCGTGGGAACAGAGAAGGGAAGAATCTTCCTAAACTCCAGAAAGGAAGTACAGACAGACTTTCACAAATTCTGCAGTGAGTTAACACGAAATCAAAGTTGAAAACAATGGTTTTGAATGTAATCTGCACATAATAGTACAGGTGTTTAAATGGTAGTTGTGTTGTTTCCTCAGAAGTAACAGATTTATTTTCCACAGAAGTGTCCTGTCTGCAAGCATTGACCGCCATGAACTCTCACGCCAAAGTTCCTGATGTGGACTGCAGCAGGACTGGCAAAGACTGCGGGCAGCAGGGCAGACAGAGAGCCATAACAGACACTCATTCCAACATCTTCGTCCTGAGGAAGATGGTGGAGGAGGTGTTCAGCGTGCTTTATAGTAAGCTGATAGTAGCTGATTAAGATTTTCTCTACATTATTGTAGATTTTTGGCTGGAATCTAAACACATGTTAATCTACTGTGCTGTAATGTGTTTCAGGTGAGGCTGTTGGGAAGAGCAGCCTGGTCCCTGTGCCTTATGACTGGATTCTCAAGGATCCCAGCTCAGTGGTTGTCTACGGCCTGCCTGATGGTGTTTCTCTGAGAAAGCCTTCGGAATACGACACCAAGACCTTAATGAAGATCTTAGAGCAGAGCAACCGCATCCGCTTCATAGTCAAAAGGTCTTCTTCTAGTTTATTCTTTATAATATGCTTGTGGAGTCATGGGCAGAAAGCAAAGGCCTGTTCACACAAGGTCTGAATTTTCTGCACAACAAGATTGTGAAATAAAATGGAAAAGTGCATCCCTATGAATTCTTGAATAGATAAAAGACACATCAGCAAAACAAAAACAAGAAGTAGAATGAAAACAAGAAAAATTATAAAACATGCTGACAAAATGGAAATGTGTTTTTATATACCGCTACTGTTGTAAAGTTTGGGGTGAGTAAGATTTTAATACTCATTAATATTTTTAATTCAGCATGAATGCATTAAATTGATCAAAAGTGGCAGTAAAGTTTACATCGTAACAAACAAATCTGTTTCAAATCCAATTAATCAAAGAATCCTGAAAAAAAAACATGTATCACAGTGTCCAGAAAAACAGTTAGCAGCACAACTGCTTTCGACAGTGAGAACAGTAATAAATGTTTTTAAACGATCAAATCAGCATATTACAATTATTTCTGAAGGATCATGTGACACTGAAGACTGGAATAATGGCTGTTGAAAATTCTGCTTTGTCATCACAGAAATAAATTACATTTTAAAATATATTTGAATAGAAAAGAGTTATTGTAAATTGTAATAATATTTCATGATATTACTGCTTTTTTGTATTTTTGATCAAAGAAATGCAGCTTTGGTGAAAGAGACTTCTTTCAAAAACTTTAAAAAATCTGACTTTCAAACTTTTTAAGGATATACTCTATGTACTGTACCTGTTTAGCACTATATTCATTGCAGGATCCATAAAAGACATATCATTATCATATTTATATATATCATGTTTTACCTTATAATGAGTGACTATTGTCAGGTGGTTTGTATTTAGCATTAAATCATATGAATAACTGCTCTCATTCAAAAAACATAATTGGTGTGAGTAGTTAGTGTAAGTCATTTGCAAACTCAAAGTAAAGTAAAGTTGTTGTTTTTTTTTTGAAGAAGACATTACTACAATTTTATCATTGTTTTATCATTTTGTCACTATCAGCACCCAATGAACAAAGACCAAAAGTGTGTGTGTGTTTTAATAGAACACCAGAGGAACCCTCTCGGGATGCCAAATCCTGTCCGGAAGTCAACCATCACTCGTCGACCTCAAAGAGCGTAAGCAACCACGCCTCTGTCAAACCCTCTGTGCAGGAAGCGTCTGCTAGCAACTCCATGCTCTCCAGCTTCCTGTACGGCATGCCCATGTCCTCCCAGGCTCACCCAGACAGCAAGCTGGACCTGAAGCCCACATCACTGCACAGCATAGGTAAAGAGCGGCTGGGCATGTGGGCGTCCGCTGACGAGAAAGCGGTTCAGGCCAAGGAATGTGCTGACAATGGTAAGAGCCTCCTGTTGTTCTTCTATATACATTGGCTGCCAGTATATTTCTATGGATATTAGAGATGCACTTATGATGCGTGATACTACTTGTGTAGGTGCTGAACCATATGGATATGGTTCTTTTTTATGTACTTAACTCTGACTTGCTCTGACTGTGTGTCTCTTCCAGGCGAGAGAGTAGGGCTGGCAGCAGATCTTACCCAGAGCCCTCCCAGCATCCATGTCTCCAAGCGCCTTCTGTTCTCCATAGTGCATGAAAAATCAGGTGGGCGACAGACTGTACTCACCATTACAGCGTCTGGCCAAGGACAAGCTGGCCTTCATTCCAGTGGAAGTTAATTTAAGTTAATTTCCTCCCTAAAATACAAAGACAAGGCATCTTCTCACACTTTAAAGGGATAGTTCACCCAATAATTAAAGTTTGGTCATTATTTATTCACCCTCATGTCGTTCCAAACCTGTATGCTGTTATGTAGTGAACACAAAAGGAGAATTTTTGAAGAGTCTTAATACAAGTTTTTTTCCATATAGCATAAAAAAGCCCCACCATAAAAGCTGTCCAGATGACGCCTGCACTGTGTTTCAAGTCTTCTGACACCATATGTTAACGTTATGCATGACAATTGAAAATGTTGTCATCATTCCTAATTGTATTAGTCATTATTCACTGCTATTCACCAAAAAAATTTTAGTTTTTAGGAATACAATTTTATATAAACCAGGTGAATGATATATTAACATTCCCCTCTGTAAAAACCTTCAGAATAAAAAACAAAAAACAGCCTTTAAAGATATGTATTATATTTGAAATCTACAGACACAAATAGATAAAGTGTCATAAAATAAATACTTGAATGTATATTTTGGATGTTTTCTTTCCACTAGTCTGAAAGAATATTTATGGAATCAAATGAAAGTTATAGAAACAAAATAGCAAAAAATCTCAAAAATGATCAGTGCTTGAAAAAACAATGGTTTTGCTTGTAGTGTTTTGCCTTTAAGTTTTCAAGGCATTTTTTGTCCATTTCAGAGCTTTGACTGAAGGGATAAAGCGAACTAGTCATTTGGACTCCTTTCCTTTTTTTGGAGCATGACCTATTGATGTGTTTATTATAAACTGTTCTTTAGTTTATAAAAACATGGTATGATGATTCTTCAGAATTTCTCTTATGTTTCACCTTCAATAGGGTGAGTAAATAATGACAGAATTTTTTAGGTGAACTATTCCTCCCAGTAAGAAAACACAACCATTTTAACTATGTTAAGCTCTCTGGAAAATAAATCAATCATATCTAATGATCCACAAATTGTTCGGTAACACTTTATTTTAAGGACCAATTCTCGCAATTAATTAGTTGCTTATTAGCATGCATATTACTAGCATATTGCCTATTTATTAGTACTTCTAAAGCACATATTAATACCTTATTCTGCTTGACCATATTTTATGATCCCTTAATCCAACCCCGCACCTAAACTTAACAACTACCTTATGAAGTAGTTTTTTTTGTTCAGGGAAAACTCTTAGTTAATAGTGAATATGTGTTCCCTATTCTAAAGTGTTACAGATTGTTCTTTATGTATGAGTGGTATTTGCTACAGGCGGGTGAGACATAAAGAGAGCTGAACTTGGCAGAGTGGGCAGTAGTAACGGGAGTTTAGCCAGGTCACCTGGGCTACCAAAGTCTGTTCCTCTCAAAAGATCAGCATGAGATCTTCAGTGACTGCAGAGAGTCAAGACCTGCCTTAATTGTCTCCTATGTCTAAAAGTACAGAGGAAAACCTCAATGTATGCAAATGCATTTCACAAAATGTTAATTGAGACTGTGACATTATTGCTTTTGCCTTAATAGGGAGCATATAAAATTTGATTGTTACATGATACTTTTTTTTGGTATTTCATGCACAGAAAAATGGGATTCGTTCATCAGGGAGACTGAGGATATCAACACCCTTCGAGAATGTGTTCAGATCCTCTTCAACAGTAGATATGGTGAGCTGAAGTCACAATGCAGAATTCACAGTCATACCACGCTACAATAAAATACTGCATATTAATGATAGCCGGAGCATGTCATTTTTTTCAGTGTTAACCTTGACATATAAAATACTAGTGCAAACAATCATTTTTTTGAAAAATGTATTAAACCTTTAGAAAAAAAACTCAATTGTTGATAACTTAGAGGCCTTCTAAATGTGTGGATCAAAAATACAGTAGGCTTTATAGGGTTAAAGTTTTTTCTCTTATCCCAGATTAATATGCAGATAACTGTAAGTAAACCATTAGTAGGTTGAGTCATCTGAAAGGTGTAAACACTGTACCTCTGTGGTGCTATCAAAACAACCAGCAACACTGACTCAACCAATGGTGTGTGTTTGGGGCGGGGCCACCTTTTTTGATTGACCAATGGCAGTTAGGGGATTGTTATAAAACCTGTTTTAATCCTGTTTTAATGCTGGTAGCGCAGAGTATCACATACCTCAGCTTTAACTTATCACTTGTTTGATGTTCATTTCAGCTGAAGCATTAGGCCTGGATCACATGGTTCCTGTGCCATACCGGAAAATCGCCTGTGATCCTGAGGCGGTAGAGATCATTGGAATTCCAGACAAGATTCCCTTCAAGAGACCATGCACTTACGGTGTGCCTAAACTCAAACGGATCCTGGAAGAAAGGCATGCTGTCCGCTTTGTTGTCAAAAGGTTTGAAACTTCATCTAAACATTCCTTTATTTGAGAACTAATGTTGACCTGATGAGAGAGATTTCCTTCTGTGTCAGTTAAGATGAATTGAGCCGTAGTCAGAGTTAAACCAGAATAGTTCAACTGAAACGTGTGATTTGTAGCTCTTCCAATTTCAACATGTGACAACAGTATCAGAGATTTAATTACTGATAACCTTTCATTTTTTTGTCATGCAATGAACTGTGTGGCTCATTGAAAATGAATCCAGATATTGGTACTAGATATACTGAGTTTTTAATTTGCTTCATAAGAAAAAAAAAAATGTCTAGCCGTCTTTGCCATCTGGCAGAGCGGTGCTAGGCATCCAAAGTGGAGCGTCATGCTGGTTGTGGTAACCATTGCCATACATGAGCCAGCGTGGAGCCGCTGATTTGGCGTAATGAGGAAATCTCCTGCTGCTCGGCACTAGACATGCGTAGACAGCATTTCAATGTTTTAATATGCGTATGGCTCACATGAACTCACAATTTTCTTTTTCTTTTCTTAGAATGTTTGACGAACGAATTTTTACTGGTAAGCATTTCTTTAACCAGTATTTGTTTGGCTCCTGTTTACTTAGTGCACTTATTATAATGTAATAGCATTGTACCTTTTTTTTGCACGGTAAAAAGTGAAAATGTCCTGTTGTTACCTAAGGAGTTATTTCTACCTTGCCTGACCTTTAACAAATTAAATTTGTTCGTTTAACCTTATATAGACAGGTTTATTCAGTCTTATTCAATAATAGTTCTGATTGAAATGAATTAGATGTTACAACATTAAGCACATGTTTAACATTTTCTGCAAGCTGCTGGTAAAGTAGCTAAGGAGGAGGGCAAACAGGATGGTGCCGCTCCTGAGGACGGATTCCCAGATGGCCTCAGGGTCCCGAGCTCTTCTCTAGAGCTGATCAGCAACACTCACAGTAGCAGGTACCAATTTACCTTTCCTGTCACCACAGAAGCATAATATCTGTATTTTCTTAGAGATAGATTGCGTCTTTTTTACTTTCCTGTAGCCATACACTGAAATTTCAGCTGTAGGAAAGATATTTCAGCTGAAAATGTGACCTGAAACTCTGTTGAAACAAATCTGATAACTTTAGCTACGTTCACACTGCAAGCCTTAGTGCTCAGTTCTGCTTTATTGCTCAGATCAGATTTTTTGGTTGGCTGTACACATCATATTTATTGTGGCCAAAATCAGTGTGGATTGCTCACAGCCTCGAACTGACCCGTATGTCCAAAAGAACAATAACAAGATGATTTCATGTGCAGGCAATAAGGATGATGAAGAGAAAGAGAGCAAAGTTTTTCAAGTTTGCCCTTAAGTTTTTGCTTTACCATAATACTTACAGCTCACTGTCCCTCCACTGGCTACCCTCATGACTGTCTTCCATATTATCCGAGCGACCAAAGAACTACCGTTGTGTAAAATCTTTGGAGTGCATTGTGTCAGCGCAGAAATGTGACGAATGTCAATCTAGAGTGACGTAAAAGTCTGATGTGAATTCGGCTGAAATTATTGTAGTCTTAGTCCGCCTGAAAATAGTCCCCAGCACGCTCCCCGTGCAAGCAGGTGGT